CAATACTACAGTCGGACTTGTGTTTAACTCACTACGACCCGAATTTACCTCTCGTCGTTGCGGCCGATGCAAGCAGTTACGGCATCGGTGCGGTACTCTCGCACAGGTTCCCGGACGCTTCCGAGAAGGCAATTTTTCACGCGTGTCGCGCTCTGACAAGCGCAGAACAAAACTATTCTCAAATTGAGAAGGAAGCTCTGGCATTGATTTTCGCGTGCAAAAAGTTCCACAAATATATTTATGGGCGAGGATTTCAGCTCCTCACAGATCATCGACCATTATTAGCAATCTTCGGGAGCAAGACCGGTATCCCCGTATATACTGCGAACAGACTCCAGAGATGGGCAACAATGTTACTCTGTTACGACTTCAAGATTGAATACCGGCAGACGACTAAGTTTGGACAGGCGGATGCGCTTTCAAGACTTATTTATGACCAGCAGAACAAAAAAGAATCTGAAGACGTGGTGATCGGAGGTATCGAAATGGACATTGCCGCCATACTTGAGGAAAGCGTACAATCCCTGCCGATCACACATGCACAAATTCGCGCGTGCACTGAGAAGGATGATACACTGGTTCAAGTTGAAAAGTTCATCCGCGAAGCGTGGCCAAAAAAAATTGAGAGAGAAAGTGCATTGTGGCATTTTTACAATCACAAAGATTCGCTGTCAATCGTACAAGACTGCATCATGATGCAGAATCGCATTGTGATCCCGAAAAGCTTACAGAACAAGGTACTTAAAAGACTACATGTTGGTCATCCTGGAGTGTCAAGAATGAAGCGGCTAGCTCGTAGCTTCGTGTATTGGCCAAGGATTGACAACGAAATTGAAAGATTAGTTAAGGATTGTGAAGCGTGCTCAGAGTTCAACAAGGATGCACTGAAGGCCCCGCTCCACCTGTGGGAGCCAACCACAAGGCCGTGGGAAAGAGTTCATGCAGATTTTGCCGGTCCCGTAGATGGGCTCATGTATCTCATAATAGTCGACGCTTATTCGAAGTGGCCGGAAATTTTCGAGATGAAATCTGCAACAGCAAGCACCACGATTGAAAGATTCATGTCTGTGTGCGCGAAATACGGCAATCCGCAAGTACTCGTAACAGACAATGGGGTACAGTTCAATTCAGAAAAATTCGAAGACTTCTGCAGAATTCGTGGCATTGAACATATCAACTCGCCTCCGTTCCATCCACAATCGAACGGCCAGGCTGAGAGGTTCGTAGATACATTCAAGCGAACGTTCAAGAAACTCCGAAGGGAGGAACCAGCGGGAGTAGCCTTACAGACGATGTTACAAGCGTATAGGAGTACACCGAAACCAGACGGCAAATCTCCCGCGGAGTTGTTCCTGGGCCGCCAAATTCGCACAGAGTTAAGTCTACTTGTGCCTGACACTCCACCTCAACAGTCAAGAAAACCTGGTGCCTCGTACAAGATGTACTTCGACAAACGTCATAGAGCGAAGATGAGGGTTTTCCGACCCGAAGAGCCAGTGTTCGCGAAAGACTACCGGACTCCGAACAGACCTAAGTGGGTACCCGGGGTCGTGATCGAACGCAAGGGCAAAGTCCTCTATAGGGTAAGAGTCGAGGCGCACGTGTGGACGCGTCACGTCAATCAGCTGAAGAAAAGAGTTAGTTCGTCGACCGCACCCTCAGTCTTTCGTCGAACTCTTCCCCTTATTAGGAGCTTGGCGAAGAAGTCGAA